CAAGTTCCTCCATATGGGACATTTTTTGTCACAGTGTCTTGGCTTTCCATGCCTGAAATGCTCTCATGGGCTTTTCACCCAGACCAGAATGCCTTAAGGGCTGAGTCTGAGGTCAGAGTGCTATTTAAAGCGATTGTCATTCTATGAGTCTGCTATACAAACTGCTTCTCTCCTTTTTAATTCTATCTATTATTATTACTAGATCCTAATCCTATCCATATGATCACTTTACCACTTAAGATGGTATTTTTACCACCTAATATTGAAGTGCTGTGTTCCTTTTGGGGATTCATGTTATCTTCCTTGTTGTTATTTCTTGTATTTCCATTCTTATTTTTAGGCATTTGTGGAAACACCTGTTTTTCTCCTCTGAGGACTTTATCTTTGAACAATGCCTCTGCAGCATAAGGAGTTTCTGCTCCTTGAGTGAATATCCAGAGATATATGATGTATGAGGCAGGGGTTTCTGGCTCTTGCTTGAGGGTGGGGCAGTAGTCCAAAGTGACTGCCAAGTCAGGCTTGGTAGATCTCTATCATCAGCATGGGGAGGGTATGATCATGCTGGCTGGTGTAATCACAGCATCAGCCCCTCGTTGCCAAGGTGAACCAACCTCCTGGGGTGCATATACAGTGCCTAGGCACCTTATCTCCATTGTATCTGGAACCAACATAGGATCTTTGTACTCCTCAGTGTGAGCATGGAACCCCGAGCCTCTGAAACCAGAATAATTTGCCTAAAGACACAGCCATGCCATAGCACATGCTCTAGTGCACAGGTCTCCCATAGTCACAGGAAGCAGGGCTTCTGCTGTCAACCCACAAGCCTCCTCAACTGTGGAAAAGACTGTGTTGTTCCTTGAGTCAGCTGCTTCACCAATAGAGGTTGGTTGATTCTCCACCTTTGCACGTCTAGTCCAGCTACTTAGAATGGAGGGGAGTGCTTTCCAAGTCTATTTGGGTGCCCTTCCCCCTGCCAATTTAAAAGGCTAGAATCAAAGTCAGTGGAGTTCACAGATTTATCCCTCAGATAAAATTTATCCCTCTGATAAAACAGAATAGAAACTCTAGAAATCAATCCATGCATCTACAACCAACTTATCTTTGACAAAGAATTAAAATTCAATCCCTGGGACAAGGACAGTCTCTTCCACAAATGGTGCTGGGAAAACTGTGGCTATGGGTGCAGAAGTATGAAACAAGAACCCTACCTTATAGCTTACACAAAAATCCACTCAAAAGGGATCAAGGACCTAAATCTACAATCTGATAGCTTAAAATCACTAGAGAATATTGGGGAAACATGGTAAGACATTGGCACAGGCAAAGACTTCTTGGAAAAGACCCTAGAAGCACAGGCAATCAAAGCAAAAATTTGACAAATGGGATCACATCAAGCTGAGAAGCTTCTGCACTGCAAAGAAACCTTCATCAAAGTGAAGAGGCAACCAACAGAATGGGAGAAAATATTTTCAAACTATGCAACTGATAAAGGGTTAAAATCCAGAATCTAAAAAGAGCTCACAAAATTCAACAACAATGAAACAAACAATCCAGTTAAGAAATGTGCAAAAGACTTGAATAGGCATTTTTCAGGACAGGAAATTCAAATGGCCAACAGACACATGAAAAAATGCTCAGGATCACTAGCCATCAGAAAAATGCAATCAAAACCACAATGAAGTTTCACCTCACCCAGTCAGAATGGCTTTCATACAGAAATCAATGAACAATAAATGCTGCAAAGATGTAGGAAAAAAGGTATCCGGATCTACTGTTAGCAGGAATTAAGCTATTGAGTACATGTAATTTCAAGGAGTTGAACAGCTGAGACCTGAAGATTAATTAAGCAGAATCATGAACTTTTGACCAGATTGCTGGCAGTGGTTGACAAGAATTCCTGGCTCTCCACGGCCCACGCGCAGAGCGAATGGGTGACAGCAGTTCCCAGCCCTCCCCCGAGGCAGGGTGGAAGAGGCCTGTCCACCACGTCTCAGTGCATGTTATCCTGAAGCTATTTTGGAAAACTCTCCAAAATTTGGAAATTTGGAAAATTCTCCTTTCTCTGACCCATCAGGAGGAAGAGCAACAGTGGGAGAGATGGCTGCAGAAGAACTTATCAGGGAGGCTGAGACATCAGGGCTGACCTCAGGACAAGACTAGGGATGATTTGTCAGATGTGGGGGAGTGAGTGAGGCAAGACAAAGCAGGGGCTGTAAGAAGTGCTATTGATAAACTCCCTTTGGAGAGCAGTGTGGGCATGGGTGAAGGTGAGAGTGGGCACCTCCCTCTGAGAAACTCCATTTCTTGGAATATTCCCCAGAGAGCTCTCACACAGGTGCACCTGGACACACATCTAAAGACATGGCTGAATCACAGTTTGTAGTCACAGAAAATGGACCCTGCTCTCAGCGTCCATCAGAACGGCAAAGGTCAAGTAACTGGTGTGGTTATACAAGGGAGGCACGCTAGCACCCAAGAACTACGGAGACAAAGCAACAAGAGGAGACCTCGGGATTCCAAGGTCACAGGGAAGAAGCAAGTTGTGGGACAGCCCACTCAGCATGAAGCTGGGCTTGCTTTTAAAACCAGAGCACTCCAATGAGTTGTTTGTGGGACTTACACATGTGATAAGATATACCAGCACGAAGGGGTAGGGCACACACCAAACCTATTCTATCAATCAGGATAGGTTAGGTTGAACTCCCTGTAACAGACTATGCCAAAATCTTGATGGTGGTAACAGCAGAGTTTGTGTCTTGGCTGTGCTGCATGTCCACCAGGGGCCTGGGTTGGCTCCACTCCACACCTCCCCCACTGGGACCAGGCTGGTCAGCAGCCAGCAGAAGCCATGGCAGAGAGAGTGAGAGCTCGCAAATCACCCTGTCTACCCAAGCCTCATGTTGGCTGAAGTAAGCCACTTGGCATATCCAGGTTTAATAGATTATGTGCCCACAAGGAGAATGGTAATACTTGGTGTGCAGCCCTACACCCATCATGGTGCACAGAGAGGCCCCACTGTAACTATGGTTGTTATTTTTGAAACAGGAAGAATCTGAATTCTGTTATTTCTGAAGGGTAGACACATTCCAAGGTGTCTTCTACGAGATTACCCATGTCATCTGAAAGTATAATTTTTATTGAAATTTTTCTTTAAGTTTATTTGCAAGGCACAAGGAAAAGTCGCATTCCCTGGTTCATTTCTCAAATATCCAAAATGCCTGTAGCTGGGCCAGGCCTGCAGGAACCACAAACATAATCCAGGTCTCCCAGCTGTGCAGAGGAAACCCAATTGCTTGAAACACCATTTTTCTCTCCCATGGTCTTCTACACAAAGCTGGAATCAGGAGCCAGAGACGAGACTCGATCCCAGGAACTCTGATGTAAGACATGGGCATACTACACCTGCTCTCAGGAGATATGTGTCCAAGATTTATTTACTTGAAAGTAGGAGTGGGGAAGAGAGAGAGAGAAATATCTTCCATCCACTGGTTCACTTCCCAGATGGCCACAACAGCCAGAGATGGGCCAGGGCGAAGTATGGAGTCTGTAACTTGACCCTCGTCCCCTACGTGTGTGGTAGGGGTGCAAGCACCGGGACCATGCTCCAGTTTCCTCTGGCCCATTATCTGGGAGCTGGACTTGAAGCAGAGTAGCTGGACCTCAAACAGGTGCTCCTATAAGGGACGCCAGTGTCACAAGCAGAGGCTACTCCTGTGGCATCAAATGATGGATGCAATAAGTATAACCTTTTTTAAAAGATTTATTTATTTGAAAGAGTTACACAGAGAGAGAATGAGAGGCAGAGAGAGAGAAAGAGAGAGAGAGAGAGAGAGAGAGAGGCAGAGGTAGAGGTCTTCCATCCTCTGGTTCACTCAATTGGCCACAATGGTCGAAGCTGTGCCGATCCGAAGCCAGGAGCCAGGAGCCAGGAGCTTCCTCTGGGTCTCCCATGAGGGTGCAGGGGCCCAAGCACCTGGGCCATCCTCCACTGCCTTCCCAGGCAGCAGAGACCTGGATCAGAAGTGGAGCAGCCGGGACTCAAACCAGCACCCATATGGGATGCCAGCACTGCAGGTGGCGGCTTTACCCACGACGCCACTGTGCCGGCCCCAGTACGTATAACTTTTAAAGAAAGAGAACAAGGAACACACCTAGTTAAAGTAGTTGATGCCTGTCCTTGCTAGGGCCATGCTCAATGCTGCAGTGTTTAGGAGGAACCCAAGCTTCCGGGTTTGGCTGTTTGGGTTTCTTCTGCCTGTACCGCAGAGGTTGTCCTGACCTCCAGGAGCACGTGCTGGGTTCCAGCCTGCGTGCGTCATTGCACGCGTCCCTGTGCCTGTGTGTGCATCATCTTGTCCGACAGCCAGGGCTCTCCCTTGGCTGTCCCACTCGCCTCTGGACTCCCAGCTCTGAGCCTGCTGTCGACAGGCAGCCAGGCACTGCTGAGCGAATGCCTCTGATATGCTCATCTGTCATTATTTAATGAACCACTTCAGGGCAGGACCCACATCTCCCTCCCTCTCGGAGCCCACCTGAAACGATGAATGGTACTGAAGCAATGAATGAGCACAGCCCTCCTTTTCCTGCCAGTCGTGGAAGCAGAAGACATCTGGTCTTCCCCCCACACACACACAGGCCTCCCATGAGGGTGTAGGCTCAGGTTCTCTGCAGATTTCACCACGTTTGCGCCTGCATGGAGAAGCCACTGCTATACGTGGGACTACCCTGGAGTGACCTACTTGTCCCAGCTTTCCTGCCTCACTTTCCACACTGGAAGTCCAGGGCCTGAACCCCCAGCCCCAGGCACACCAAGAGGGTCAGTCTCCCATCACACTCCTTCTCCCAGGCCTCGTGCGGTCCTGGTCCTCCCAGGAGAGGGGGCTCTGGTCTCGTCTGCAAATCAGCTCTCAGGTTTAGGACCCGGCCAGGGAAAGTCACTGACGGACACAGATCCACTCGGGACTTGAGAGAGCTCTTTATTCTTTACACAGGACGTGGGGTCAGCACGAGCACTTGAGGCTGCTACCAATTTTCTGGAAAAGACAGGGAGGGGACAGAACAGTGGAGTGAGGGTGACAGGTTCTGGAGTCAATGGAACTGGAGCAGCTCCCAGCCCCCACTCAACTCCGTGTGGCCCCGAGGGAGTGACTGGCCCTCTCTAATGGGAGTGGTGATCCCAGCACTCACCCTGTGGGGTCCTGATTAAAGCATAACCAAGGCCCCAGCCCAGTCCTGGTGCTCATCTACCCAGTCTATACGGTGCTCACTGAGGTCACCATGGACAACACTGACCCTCTCTGACCAGCTGTCCCCAGATGACACATTTATTGCTCACTTCCCGTCTCCCCCAGCAGGGGGCGCCGTGGCCCTCTGTGCTCTGTGACAAGTAAGGACCTGACCAGAGCACACCCCTGAGAAGCCCTCCTGAGTCAGGAGGTGCAAACTCCACCCAGAGCCTGCGAATTCCTGGGGCCACGCAGGGCAGAGCTCACCCCCCTGCCCTCTGCCATGTCCCCAAGGCTCCGCCCCCTGCCCTCCCAGGACCCCTGCAGCCCCTCCCAGGATCTGCCCCTCCTCCCTGTGCCCCAGCCCTCTCAGGACATCCCCCACCCTGCAGCCCTCCCTGCTGCCCCGTCCTCACCGCCTCAATCCAGTCAATGAAGGCCGACACTCGGGTGAACACCGTGGGCTTCTTAGGGGTGTTGCAGTATTCAGGACCAAAGCTGACCACACCATTGACCTCCCATTTACACTTCACTCCAGGGCAGTTGAGGGGTCCCCCAGAGTCACCCTGCAGCAGTCAGAGGGGACAGGGCTGAGCCGCGTCTGAGGGTCAGGAATGGATCCTGAACTTGGGGACTGCAAACCACACCCTCAGTGTTGACCTCTGAGCCTCAGGGGCTCCTCTGAGCCGGGAGCAGGGTCTGTCCCACAGGGGCTGCTGGGGATGAGCTGGGACAGAGCTGACCTCAGCCCCACACCTGCAGAGAGGAAGCCCCGGGAGACGCCGGCTCCCACTGCCCGTGGCGCAGTCACTCATGGACGTGACGCTCATGCACACCTTTAACACAGGGGCTCAGGGTCCCTTCAGAACACAGCGTGGGTGACTTGGGATGTCCTGGTGCCAGTGCCCCCTGCTGTGCTGCTGGGGCCGCCTGAGCACCAGGAGGGATGGTGGCCTCCCAGGTCAGGTGAGCCAGGGTCAAGGCTGTCTGCATGGCGCTGACTTCCCCCACGTCCTGCCTGGACTGAACTCCCAGGATGCAGCGGGAAAGACCCCTCCCCTACCTCCACAGAGATGGTAGAGGGGCCCCAGGGCTGGGACAGGTGTGGGCTGACTCACGTAGCAGCCAGCGACGTTGGCACCGCCGGCACACACATGGATCTCCTTCACAGCCGAGCCCCACCAGTCCGGCTGGGAGCAGTGTGCATAGTCCACCACGGGCAGCAGCCCCTGCTGTAGCTTGTCCGGGGTTGGCCCATCAGCTGCAGGGACACAGAACAAACCCTAGGCTCCCGTGTGCGGCATTCAAGGCACACAGTGGTTCTGGCCGGGTGGGGACTCTCCTCCCACCAAGTCCACCACCCTTCACGCTCTGGGCACAGATGCACCCTGGCCTTTGTCCCCAGCTCTGTCTTTCCACCACTGTCCCCGGTCAGCACGTACTGTTGAGATTGCCCCAGCCAGTGACGTAGCATTTCGTCCCGTGGGGCAAGATGTAGCCAGCAGGAGGGAGGCAGGCGAGTTTGACTTCATCTGTCAACTCAGCTTTGTACGACAGCTTCAGGAGGGCGATGTCATAGCTGTAGGGAGGGAAGAGACGTGGAGCCTGATCCTCCGACTGGATCAGACCCCAGCCTAGGCCTTTGCTCCTAGGGTTCACGTGTTGGGGGCCCCACTGCTAGCTTGCCCCTCCCAAATCCACTGTTAGGAAAGAGCAGACTTCAGAAAGCCCAGTCCATTCAATGCCCACCAGCCCTTGGCCTTCACAGCTGTCCTTGTGTCCACCTGTGCTCCTCACATGCAGCATCCCAGGGCCGGCACTGTGACATAGCAGGTAAAGCCACTGCCTGCAGTGCCGGCATCCCATATGGGTGCTGGTTCAAGTCCCGGCTGCTCGCCTTCTTATCCAGCTCTCTGCTATGGCCTGGGAAAGCAGTATTAGATGGGCTGAGTCCTTGGGCCCCTGCACCCACGTGGGAAACCTGGAAGAATCTCCTGGCTCCTAGGTTCGGATCAGGGGCTCAACTCCAGCCGATGCAGCCATCTGGGGAGTGAACCAGCGGATAGAAGACCTGTCTCTCTCTCTCTCTCTCTCTCTCTCTGCCTCTCCTTCTCTCTCTGTGTGTAACTCTGATTTTCAAATAATTAAATAAATCTTATTTGAAGGGAAGAGAAGAGAAGAGAAGAGAAGAGAAGAGAAGAGAAGAGAAGAGAAGAGAAGAGAAGAGAAGAGAAGAAAAGAAGCTGCATCCCAGATAGCAGTGCCTGGGTTCAAGTCCCAGCTCGGCTCCCCAGTCCGGCGCTCTGCTCTAGTGCACCCTGGGGCAGCAGGTGACAGCTCCACTGTTTGGGTCCCGCCATGCATTTTGGAGACCGTGACAGAGTTCTAACCCTCTGATTCTGACCTTGACCAGTCCTACTGCTGCAAGAATTGGGGTAGGAATTAGTGAATGGCAGATGATGGTGACTATTTCTCTCTCTCTCTCTCTCTCTCTCTCTCTCTCTCTCTCTCTCTCCATCTCCCTCCATCTCTCGCCCTCTCCTTTTCAAGGAAATAAAAATACATACGCAGAATGTTAAAGCCACGCATAGTTCAGGGGCCAGGCCAGGTTTCCTGAGGCTGTGGTGTGGCCGAGGCCTGAGATCTGAGGTTTCAGCGGGTTCCCGGGGGCTGCTGGTGCTGCTCACCCACAGACCACTTTTGGATCCATTGTTCTGCTGCTGCCACTCGGGACATTTTGTCTGGGTCTCCCTGGTCTCCCTAGGCCCCAGGAGCCCCGCCAGGACGGGCCGGGGTCTCCATCACGGTGGCCCCTCCCTCCTGCACTGTTCCCCAGGGTTCCGCCCCCTCCTGTGCTCCTCTCACAGAAAAGGCTGAGCCTCCCGGACACACAGGTGAGCACACAGGTGAGGCTGAGCGGGGCCTTCCCGCCCGTCACCACCACCAGGAAGCCCTGCTGCAGGTCACCCTCTGACCAAGGGGAAGCCGAGGCCCAGGCAGGGCCGTGACACCCAGGCCACTCAGGGAGTGACTGCCAGGGCCGACTCTCCACCCAGTGCTCCTCCTTTGTCCCCAGTGCCGGGACCCAGCTGTGCCGGATGGACCTGTGCTGACCACAGAAAACCTTGGACTTGGGGTGGTGCCCGAGGGGTCCTGGGCTGCAGAGCCATGGAGCCCAGCAGCCGTGGGGGGCTTCCTGCCTCTCCCTGGGCCTGCTGTCCCCTCTGCAGGGAGAGACGTTGGTGCTGTGGGTCTCAGTGTGTGGGGGCTGGGCCCGGGCTGCCCACTTTCCCGGCTGTCCCTGGGAGTCCCCTAGATGCAGCTGGGGGTCACAGAGGAACTAGCACAGGAGCCCAGGCGCCTGCTGGGAGCTCACTCACCCTTGGGAGGCATCATCGTTGTTGTAAAGTGGGTGCACGTAGATCTTCTCCACGGGGATGAACTGCTCGGGTCCCTCGGAGATAGTTATATCGTGCTCGCCCAACGCAACCCAGTATTTCTCGTTCCTGCCAATGGAGGGGAGGTCAGTCTGGGCCTCACAGCCAACTTAGGCCGCTGGCTGGCCTGGGCCGCCTGGATGTCACACAACAACAAAGACCAGGGCGGGGGTGGGGAGAGCAGGACTCACGAGATGCAGTGGGCGGCCGTCAGAACCCAGTTAGGTTTGATGAGGGTCCCGCCACAGTATATGTACAGCCAATCACCCTGCTCAATCAGCAAGAGGACCTGGAAGTCCGGAAAGAACAGACTGAGAGGTCCAGGCCCACCGTCCAGGTTGCTGTCCAGCTTGTACACTGCACAACTCAGGAGGACACCATTCACACAGAGACGAATAACCCCTTCCAAAACATGCAGTGTGCAACCTGAACCACTGCTCATGGTGGCCCTATCACTTCTCCCCTGGGATCACACTGTGGCTCTGTAGTCTCCCATCCCAGGACCTGTGACCTCCCGAGGACTCCAACGTTCTCTGCCCTCTGGGGCCTCCCTGAACCTCTGTCTCCTGGGAGCCCCCAAGACCCTCTGGCCTCTCAGACCCCCCATTCTCTGCACCCCAGCCCTGCAGGCCTCTCGAGCCCTGCAGGCTCCACTCCCCCGAGTCCTCTCCTCCCTTCCCGTCTCCTGCACATGCAGGGTTTCCCGATCTCCCTGGAGACCAAGGGTGACAGCTATGGACCCCGGCCCAGTGCGCCCATGGTCTGTGCAGGACGTAAGCATTCACGCACACAGGCCGCTCGCACACACACGGACCATCTCTGGCTGCTTTCCTGCTGCGATGGCAGGGCTGAGTCCCTGCTGGAGAAACCACGTGGCCAACATGGCTGCAGCACCTGCTCTCTGCCCCCTCACAGAACACGCCTGCTGACCCTGCCCACGGAACGTTCTGGGCTATGGAGCGGTTCTCCTCTCTGCTGTCCACAGTGGGAACCACTGGCCCCAGGTGGCTCCGGAACACTTGGGACGCGGCTGGGACCTCGTCACTGAGTGCTCCACTTAACTTGATGAAGTTCATGGAGATTGAAACAGCCCCATGTGGCCAATGACCCCTGGGCTGCCCAGCACAGCAAGCCCCGCCCTCGGTGCGGCCCCCACTGCCCCTGAGAAAACTCTCTACTCCCTGTCGTGCTTGACCTTGGAGCCCTGGGGTGTAAGTCAAGGGCTCTGAAACCTCCCTGAACCCAGGGCCTGGCTTCCTCTCTCACTGCACCAACCCCTTAGGTTAAGCCTTGCCTGGCCCCAGATCCTGCTTTCCATTTGCAGACAGCCAGTGAAATGTGCAGACAGAGCTGGAAAACCTCCTACCCCTGGGCAGCTGATATGGGGACAGGAGGGAGCCGCGGGCCCAGGACCGGTGGCCTTGCAGTCAGCGCCCAGGGTGGGAGTCAGTGCCCGGGCGCTGCTCTTACCTGCCAGGGCCAGCTGTGGGGTTCTGCATCTTCGCCATTGACCACGCGGCTGGAGGGGTTATAAAAAGGTAGGGCAGAGCCCGAGGCTGGAGAGGAGAGAAGAACACTGGTCACCCAGAGGGTCCCCAGCAGGACAGACGGGCAGGTCCCAGTCCTAGCTGTGCCACTAACAGGCTGTGTGAGCCCTGCAAGTCACATCATCCCGTGGCCCCTGTGAACAGTGAGCGTGCGACTTGAGCAGGGGTACAGAGTCCCTGCTGTCCAAGGCTGCAGATGCACACTGAGAACTGAGGGGCTGACGTTCTGACACGGCCTGGCGCCCAGGCCACCTTCCCATGGCCACAGCTGCTGTCAGAGTGCAGGCTTCGGCTGGAGCATTTGGTGCTGTGCTTACGACACCCATGGAACACCCGCACCCCGTATCAAAGTGTCTGCATTTGAGTTGCAGCTCTGTTCCCAGCTGCAGCTCACTGCCTATGTGCTCCCTGGGAGTCAGCGGTGATAGGCTGAGTACCTGGGTCCCTGAAACTCAGGGCTGCCGACTTCGGCCTAACCCAGCCCTGGCTGCTGGAAGCATTTGGGGAATGAACCAGAGGATGGGAGATACCTGCCAGCCTGTCTCTCTCTACTTCTGAAATAAAATACATAAACTTTTAAAAAATAGTGGAAGCTTTGAAAAACTATTTTCTGTGTTCAAAGCCCAGCCAGGCCCCTTGCTCTAGGATGAGCTACTTTACTTCCCTGAGGGTCGGTTTGCCCATCTGTAAAATGGGGACGATAACGGTACTGACCTCACGGAGCTGGGATGAAAATTACAAGAAAACGTATTTTTAAAAACCTTTAGCATTCTACTAAGCACACAGTAAGCACTCGGCAGATTTATCTGTTCCCATGACTGTCAGTCAAGGGAGGCTGCTAGAGGAGGTGGCCCTGAGCCGCAGTGTAACAAGGCAGAGAGATAAGGCTGGGCCGCAGGCTATGGAGAGGGTGGAGGGGGAGTGTGAGTGGGGAATTGGAGAATTGGAGCGTCCAGCAGGGAGTGGGAATCCCACCCGACGCAGTCTGAGCACAGAGCCCGACTTCACCACCCGGCTGTGTTCACTGCCCCCCACCAGGGACGCCGCCCCAGCCCTGGGTGCTGCTCCCAGTCCTCCTGAGCTGCTCCATCCCCTGCTTCCCCTCCCCCTCCTCCCCTGCACCAAGCTGAAACCCCCACTGCTGTGCCCCAGGGACGAGCTGAGACCCCTCCTGTGGAGCAGGGGCTGGGACCCCGGGACCAGGGTGGGGAGCAGATCTCAGGGCTCCTGGCCCAGGCAGCGCAGGGCACAGACGCGGGCTGGGTTCTTACCAAGGGCCACCAGCAGGAGGGCGCTCAGCAGCCGGAGCATCGCGAGTTTGGAGAGAGGACGAGCGACAGAGCCCGCGTTCTAATATACGGCAAGCAGGCAGGGGGCTGGACTGGGCCCAGTCCCAGCACAGGTGGTGGGACACCAGGTCTCTCCCATGGACCAAGGCCATGGCCCCACGCACTGCTGACAGAGGAGTGACAGCCCATGGAAAGAGCCAGGGTTCCTGCACATGTGTCTGCACAGGTGTCACGGGATGGACCAGGATGGAAAATTCTCATCAGAACGTGCTGCCTGCCTCAGGAGAGAGCACGGCTCGGGAACCCCTGCACTCCCAGCCTGCGTGGTCACGTGCCAGGGCACGCGGCTTCACCTCTCCAAGTCTCAGGTGTCCCAACCCTGAGATCCAGGCTGATTCCACCTCAGTAATGAGGTCTAGCTGAGCACCTGCTCTGCTGGGATCAGGCACTGCTCCGGGGGCTGCAGCGGAGCTCAGCACGTGGTCCCCGCCCCCCATGGAGAGTGAGTCTATTGGAGGAGACTATGACAAACCAAAGGCTGTGTCCACTCAGGGGGGCAGGTGTCCCAAAGAAGACCAGTCCCGGGTGCCTGGGGCGGGAGTGAGAATGGCTCACTTAGAGGGAGGCGAGGGAGCATGACATTTGGGCAGAGGGGAAAGCATGTTTTGAGTCCTAAAGGGAAAATAAAAGCCAGCTAAGAGAGGGGCGACAGACTGACAGTTTTAAGATGCCTCTTGCAAGACCCTCATCCCATGCCAGAGTGCCTGAGTCTGAGTCCAGATCTGCTCCCAAGTCCAGCTTCCTACAAATGTGGACCCTGAGAGCCAGCCTATGATGGCTCAAGGGCTTGGGTCCCTGCTACCCAGAGACTTCCTGAGCTCCCAGCTCCGGTGTTTGGCCTGCCCCAGGCCCGGGGTTTGTGTGGATTGTGTATGGAGCTCTTTCTCTACCTTTCGAATTAAACGCACATGAATCTTTAGAAATGATTTGTTTGGGGCCAGCGTTGTGTTCCAATAGTAACCTGGTTCCTGTGACTGCTTTGTCCCAGGCGGGTGTTCAAGCCCAGGCTGCTCCCTTCCCAGCTAGCGCCTCGCGGATGCACCGTGAAGTCAGTGGAAGATGTTACAAGTGCTTGGGCACCTGTGCCCATGCAGGAGACCCTGGTGGGCTTCCCGGCTTCTGACTTTGATGTGGCCCAGTCCTGCCCATTGCAGCCATTTGGGGAGTGAACCGGAAGATGGAAGGTCTCTCTCTCTCTCTCTTTCTCTGTCTCTCCCTCCCTCCCTCTCTCTCTCTTCCTCCCTTCTTAGCAACTCATCCCTCCAAATTAACAAAATAAATCTTTTAAAAATATTTATTTTGCTTATTTGAAAGACCGTGACAGAAAAGTGAGAGAGACAAAGAAATCTTCCATTCACTGGTTATTCCCAAAATGACTTCATTGGCTGGGGCTGCTGCAGGCCTAGCCAGGAGCCACGAACTCCATCCGGGATTCTGGGGCAGGGACTCCAGCATTTGGGTCCTCCTCCCCTCCATTCCCAAGCACATCAGAGGCAGCTGGACTGGAAGCCGAGTAGCCAGGTCTCATACCCGCACTTGCATGTGGTGTGCTTGGCTTTCAATTGGAGGTTTAATCCACTGCACTCAAAAATAAACTTTTTTAAATGCTAGGCAGGGGAAGCCCTGAAGTAAACACACTCCAGGTGGAACAGGTGGCAAGTGCAAAGGTTGGGAGGATCGAACTGGCTTGGCTTCTTTATGAAGAGGCCAGTGTCCTTGGAGCTCGGTGGTCTACGTGGAGGTGGAGAGAGGTGAGGCCACAGCAGAGGGGACCCCTGGAGCTGAACACTGGCTGATCCACTGTCCCCCTCACTCCTGCTCTGTACCTGGGAACAGGTGCAGCCACGTGCCCTAAGGGACATGGCTGAGAACGCCCATAGAGGCCCCATCCTCAATGCTCAAGAACAAGGACCAAGAAGCAACCCAAATGTCCACCTAAGTGAATGGATGCATGTGTGGGACATGCATGCAGGAAAAGATCAATCAACAAAGAGTGGATTGTGGTGACGTGGCACATGCAGACACTTCCCAGGCAATGAAGGGGAAAAAGTAGTTTCCAGCAGATTATATGCATTTTCACATTCTTTCTAAAAATGATTTATTTATTTGAGAGGCAGAGAGATGGAGACTTTCACACAGACACAGAGAAAGTTCTCCCTATGCTGGTTCACTCTCCAAATGCCTGCAATAACTGAGGCTGAGCCAGGTAGAGGCCTGGAGCCTGGAAAATTTTTTTTACTAACAGTTCCCCCTTTTGTTTTTTATAAAGCAGGAGCTGTGTGGGATTACATTAGCCCTAAAGTCCAGGAGGGGTAGAAGGACAATAACCTGTCCTTAGAGCTATTTCCTGCCGACATGGGGAGACAAGGTACTCTCTGCTGGCATGGAGTGATGTCTTAAGATGCTGTCTCCTGGGTGGGGAGCCGAGAATATCCCTGTAGCAGCATTTGGTTGACCGCCTGGTTGCTGAAGGCCTTGGTTCGTTCCATTATCAATTCCTATAAACACTTCAGCAGATATGGTAGAATAAAAGACAGGATGAGAATAGCAACCAATGATCCTAAGAGTGGCATTAACCAAGTAATGAGAGGATTTCATAGAGGAGAGGAGATGAGGAGGGTCTCTGGACCCTTGGGAAGACTGCTTGATGGATGCGGTTTGAAGCTCATCCCAACCAAGACCGGAAGAAAGGCCACTCATCTTTCAGGGGTAGAGGGGTTTGTCTGTAGAGAAATCTGAACAATCATACAACATTAAGTGGGGCAGAGGACCATCAATACACAGGTCAGGACTGGAGCCATTGATGTTAGAGTAGAGGCTATGATTACAAAGGAATGAGGCCCCAGGTGGGCTAGACAGGGTCTAGAACAAAGGACAGAGTCATTACTAGAGGACCTAAGAGAGGTGCTGTCTAAGCCACGTCTAAGTTCTCTTATTGAGAGGCAAATAGAAGCTGACAGAAGGGGCCTGATAATAATCAGGTGGGCTTTAAGGCCGTGCCAGTTAGGAGGCCCAGGCCTATCTATCTCTTCACATGGGGTATATCCTAAGGGAGGTGTGAGCCTCCTTGGGAAGGCACCCTGCTGACTCCCATCACCTGGCTGGCCTGGGAGGAGAGCTGGCCAGGTGAATGCAGGTGGCATCTCTCACAGGAAATTCACTGTTCTGCCTACAATGTTGCTGACTCTACTTGGCCATCCCCTCAACCCCAGCAGTTACCTTGGAAGCTGAGATGAGTGAAGGGCTTTTCAGCTTAGAGCCAGTAAGATCTGTGGCTCTGACCTGGGCATCCTTCAACTCCAGGGAAGGTCCATTTCCAGTGATCCAACTCAGCTGGCAGAGCTGCCAGGGCTCTTCATAAGCTGACTTCTGCTGAAGCCCTGGCCTTCCACACTGAAAGCCACTGCAGTGGGCTGGCCTGTTGGGTCTCTTCGAGGGCAGCCCACTGTACAGAGCACCGTTTAATAGGTTTGCCACCTATCCTTACATTGCTTCTGATGCCTGGCTTTCTCTTCCTCCTGGTTTTTGTTAAAGCAAGCCAGAGAATGCAAGTCAAGGGGGTGCAGAACCTGGAAATTAATCTGGGTTTCCTATCTGGGTGACAGGACCCAAAGTGCTTGAGACATCACCTGCTGAATCCCAGAGTGTGAATTAGCAGGAAGCTGAAATTGGAAGCCAACCTGGGACTCGGTCCTAGGCAGTCTGATATGTGACACAGTGTCCCACGAGGCATCTTAACTGCACACACACACCATTTTTTTTTTTAATTTATTTATTTATTTGAAAGACAGAGTTACAGAGAGAGGGAGAGACACAGAGAGAGGTCTTCCCATCCGCTGGTTCACTCCCCAGATGGCCGCAATGGCCTGAGCTGCCTATCCAAAGCCAGGAGCTTCCTCTGGGTCCCCGATGCGGGTGCCTGGGCCCAAGCACTTGGGCCATCTTCCACTGCTTTCCCAGGCCACAGCAGAGAGCTGGATCAGAAGTGGAGCAGCCAGGTCTCGAACTAGCACCCATATGGGATGCTGGTACTGCAGGCAGCAGCCCCAGCCGCTATGCCACAGTGCCGGCCCCATACCCTTTTTTTATTTGAGAAGTAGAGACAGAATGAGAGGGCATCAATTCTGGCTCCTATCCACTGATTCTTTCCCTAAATGGCCACAAGAATGGGACTGGGCTGAGGCTGTTGCCAGGAGCCAGGAACACAAGCCTGGTCTCCGACATGGGTGGCAGGAACCCAAGGACTTGAGCCATTGCCACTGCCTCCAGGGTATCCTGCCTGCCCAGGAGCTGGTCAGGAACCAGAGCTGAGAATGAAATGCAGATATTCCAATGGCTTAACTAGTAGAATAAACACTGCCACTCTCATAATATCCTCTTTTTAAAAATCTTTATTTATTTATTTGAGAGACAGAGTTATAGACAGAGAGCTAGATCAGAAGAGGAACAGCCGGGACATGAACGGTGCTCATATGGGATGCCAGCGCCACAGGCAGAGGCTTAGCCCACTACACCACAGAGCCGGTCCAATATCCTTTTTAAAGGATTAAAAACAACTGAAATGTTAAGATGTATTCTTGGGGCTGGCACTGTAGCATAGTGGGTAAAGCCACTGCCTGCAGTGCCAGCATCCCATATGGGTGCCAGTTTGTGTCCTGGCTGCTCCATTTCAAATCCAGCTCTCTGCTATGGCCTAGGAAAGCAGTAGAAGATGGGCCAAGTCCTTGGGCCCCTGCACCTGTGTGGGAGACCCAGAAGAAGCTCCCGGCTCCTGGCTTTGGATCAGCGCAGCTCCAGCTGTTGTGGCCAATTGGGGAGTGAACCAGCAGATGGAAGACCTCTCTCTCTCTCTCTCTCTCTCTCTCTCTCTCTCTCTGCCTCTTCTTCTCTCTGTGTAACTCTGACTTTCAAATACATTAATAAATCTTTAAAAAAAAAAAAAAGCTGTATTATTTAGGAACC